GTGTGGCTCTGGCCTGTCCAAATAGGCACGACCCAACAGTTAAAGAGCAAGCTGTGAATTATTGCTTTCAAATGCRCATTTCTCCTGAAGACACAGCTGTTGATAAATTCAGCTTGTGTGTGGCTGCTGTGGATGGCACAACTGTGATCCAGTATTATGGRTGTTTTCTTTTGATAGGAATCTGGTGAGGTACATGCAAACCATGTCGAGCCCTTGGGCTCTTGGCAGGTGGCCTCTGGGACTGTCGGGGATAKCTGGGTGCTTCTGATCTCATAGGGAAAGTCTGAGCTGCTCTCGTGTTCCCATGTCTGTGTCATATGGAGATGAAATGCAGCCTGAAGTTTCTGCACTAATGGGATGGCTCTGTCTGGCACGGTCTGTGCTCAGTGCTGGCACTGGGGACTCAAGGCCATTTCCCAATAGCTGCTGCCTGCCAGAGTCCCTGTGGTGTTTGAGGGCATCTGTGGCAGCCTCACCTGASACACTGATCCAGCTAACATTCAAGCCTGTGTGCAAAAACAGCTCAAGAACCTTCTTTCCAAAACTTTGGCATTCCTCAGTTGGCATTTTTAGCAAACCCTTGTGTCCCTCGTGGTAGGGAGCTCCCCACTGCAGTCCCACCAACATCCATCACTGCCTGCTACGCATCCCTCAGTCCAATCATCAGGCACCTTGTCAGCTCTCCAACATCAAATTTATCCCAATCATACACAATTCTGACACTTCTTTTCAAAGCAGCTTCAAGTGTTCCCTTTCCACCTATTTACCTGTACATTGTCAAACCCATGCATCTCACATGCCAAACCTGGCTGTGCTTGCAGATCTTCAGAAAACCATTTCATAGATTCATACTTTTGGTTTAACTGTTGCTGCAGAAGCCAGAAGCAGCCAGTCTCACCCCATTCTAAATTGCCAGGGCTGACCTCGCTCACACTCAGCTGCAGAYGTGCAGCACAAGGAGTTCTGCAGCTCTCTCTAAGGACCAGTCTGACTTTGGAGTTTCACACAGAGTGCCCAAGAGCAGCACACCCATCACCAGCTGGGAACAAGGCCACACTCACCATTCCCAGGAGCTATGACATGTATCCACTGGCCACTGCCAAGCTCCAACATCTCTGCAGAGAGGAGCCAGCTATGGCTGCAATCCTGACACACTGCACACAGAGAGTCAGTGAACACCTTCACCAACTGCTCCTGAACACCACAGTGCCCAAATACACTTTGGGCCAACAGCCCTCCTCACTCACAGCCACCATGGAGGAAGGATCATTCTCAATAGGACACAAGGCAGCACCTGGACCACATCATTCTTTTTTCAACAACATAAAGCCATTTTCCTCTGAGAGGAAATCTCTAGTTAAAGGAATGAATGTAATTCCCACATGTACTCTGCTATACAAACTGCTCCTACAAAGCAGCAAAAAGCCCTGTCAGAGGCACAAGGAGATAAATTTTGGATACTCTGGAYAGTAACTGTCATCAACCTGTCAGTCAGATAACGCTGAAGGAAAGACCCAACATTCAACACAAAAAGGTTTCCATCTCCCTATCACTACTTAGTGGAAATGGAAAGCCAGGCTGGTCAACGAGGCCAGATCTGAACTCCACAGAAACTTTTGTGTTCTCACTCATCTCCTGGCCACAAGACAGACTCCTCTGGGTTTCATGCTCTATAACTTTCCATTTAATAAGAAAGAAGCATCAAAACTCTACCCCAGCTTCTCACCAACATGGCTCTAATTGTGAGCACCCTCAAGTTTGCAGGAAAACAAATGCAGAGAGAAAGCAGGAGCTGCCATGTCTGCCTGTGAGCATTCAATTAGACAGGAATCATCATAACTTCAGCTGGACTAGACACTAAGGAAACCACAATAAAATGGACTGAGGCATCCAAAATTATTCACAGAAAATAGGCCAGACCAGGCATGAAAACATCTGGGCTTGGCTTGAGTCATGAACCACACGAGCAAGACACTCACTGCTGCCTGCAGGCCCAGGGGAGGAATGTGAGAGCACAAAGGTGGGCACAGCATTCTCCTRCACCCAGATTCCCCTCTGCACCTTCCTCACCAAACATCCAACAGCCCCTTATTCTGGAGGCTCTTGGACTGCCCAGTGCAGTGGGATTTTTAAGGATGGTGTTTCTGGGACACCAGGCAATGCATACACAATCACAGCTGGTGAGGCAGCCAGCTCCAGTCCCACCTCTGAGACAAAAGCAAGGCAAAAAGGGTTAAACCACTGCAATCCTGGCCTGTGCCACCATGCATGCCAAACTGGCCAACACTGTACACTCCAAAGATCCCTTCCTGTGCCACATCAACACACAGCAGCTCCCCTCCCTCCCTCCCTCCTACCCCAGAACTTACACAGACTGATCAGGACAAGGTTATCCCAACTCCCAACTGGAGGCAGCAAACAGCCAAGAGTTCAGAGAGCAGAAGGACTGCAGCAGCTCAGCCYCTCTGYCMAMCAGASCAGGCAGTGTCAGCACTGCTCTCTTTTAGCTTTACAGTATTAAGGCAAACCAACTGAGCATTCTCACCAGAAGTGCCCCAAGATCAGGAAGCCCTGCAGGACACTACAGCACATGGGAAAGGCACGGGTGGGGGCAGGCCATGGGCCAGAAACTGCTACTGCCTGAATAATGGAAAAGGGGAAAAGGAAAGATAAAGGGGGAAGTCAGTAGAACTGCAGCAATCATTTAAAAATAATCTGCTCCTATATTTTAGAAATAAGCCTGGCAGAAGGAACAGGTATGAAAAAGAGACAGGGCACAGCATATTTATATATTWTATATAACACAGAAAGTAGATAGACTATTATACACATAACCTATGGACTAAACCAGGAAATCCCATTTCTGGCCACCACAAGTACTAATATGCATTTTGACACTTTTACTTCAGAGTGAATCGAGCTTGGTCCCCTCACTGGAAGGTGCTACCACAGATGGCCCCAAGCTGTCCAGAATAGGCTGAGAACTTGATGTCCACATTYCAGGACAGAGCACATTTGCTACAAACCAGGAACAGAGTCCACAGCTTAGTCTCCTCCAGAAGAAATCCAGCACACACATGCCAAAACCACTCTGCAACTCACAGCAAACAGAGCTCCTGGCAAGGACAAGCTCCAAAAATCCCACTGGTGCTCCGAGACAGGGCCCCAGGGTGGTGAGAGCACAGAGCCATCTGACCACAGCAGTGTCTGAGTGAACCCCTGAACCCCAGTGCTGCACCCCAGAACCACAGGCAGCTGCTGGGGCAGCCAGGATGGCACCAGGGGGGCTGGGGAGAACAAGGGGGTGAAAGGAACTTTAACAGGAAAAGGGGGGGTGCTCCCTGCAGAAGGGAATGTTCAGTGTCACCGTGGTGCCCCAGCTCAGCCCAGCAGCTCCCACAGCTGGCACCGGGCACTGCCAGTCCAGGACTGCTTTCCAGGGACAGCCACCCTGCTCTGCTGGCTCTCCAGCAGCACATGCACCACTAATGAAGGGTTTATCTCTCCCTTTTCCTGTCAGCTCAGATCCAGACAGGCTGACTCTGTTACCATTAAGAATGCTTATTTTTCCCCTACTCACTATCTCCAAGCCAAAACAACATCTGGAACTTCAGCTTGCCATACAAAAAGAGAGACAGATTAAAACTGGAAAATGCTACACATCAGCTTCCCAAGCTTTAAGTTTCTGCTTTTATTCGAATTTCCCACATATACCTTCCAAAACA